GTGGATGTCAGGGTCTGGATCGGGGTCCTGGGTCAGGATCGGGGTCAGGGTATGGGTTCAGGTGAGGGTTAGGGCTGGGTTAGGGTTAGGGTTAGAGTTTGGGTGCCAGTGTGTTAGGGTTAGGAATAGGGTTAGGATTAGGATTCGGGTCATGGTTCAGATTAGGGTCAGGGTCCCGGTCCTGGTGGATGTCAGGGTCTGGATCGGGGTCCTGGGTCAGGATCGGGGTCAGGGTATGGGTTCAGGTGAGGGTTAGGGCTGGGTTAGGGTTAGGGTTAGAGTTTGGGTGCCAGTGTGTTAGGGTTAGGAATAGGGTTAGGATTAGGATTCGGGTCATGGTTCAGATTAGGGTCAGGGTTCCAGTCCTGGTCGACGTCATGGTCCGGATCGGGGTCTGAGGTCAGGATCGGCGTCAAGGTTTGGGTTCAGGTTAGGGTTACGGTTATGGTTAGCTTTAGGGTCATGGTTCAGGTTAGGGTTATGGTTCGGTTAGGGTCAGGGCCACGGTCCACGTCAGGGTCTGGGTCGGGATCCGGGGTTAGGATCGGGTCAGGGTTTGTGTTCAGGTTAGGGTAAGGGTTAGGGTTAGAGTTAGGGTTAGGATTTGGGTCATGGTTCAGATTAGGGTCAGGGTTCCAGTCCTGGTCGACGTCATGGTCCGGATCGGGGTCTGAGGTCAGGATCGGCGTCAAGGTTCGGGTTCAGGTTAGGGTTACGGTTATGGTTAGCTTTAGGGTCATGGTTCAGGTTAGGGTTATGGTTCGGTTAGGGTCAGGGCCACGGTCCACGTCAGGGTCTGGGTCGGGATCCGGGGTTAGGATCGGGTCAGGGTTTGTGTTCAGGTTAGGGTAAGGGTTAGGGTTAGAGTTAGGGTTAGGATTTGGGTCATGGTTGAGATTAGGGTCAGGATCCCGGTCCTGGTCCACGTCAGGGTTAGGGTTAGGGTTAGGGCTGGGTTAGGGATAGGGTTAGGGTTAGAGTGCTTGTGCAGGTTAGGGTTAGGGCTTGGGTAGGGTTGGGGTTAGGGTTAGGAATAGGGTTAGGGTTCAGGTTAGGGTTAGGGTTCGGGTCATGGTTCAGATTAGGGTCCCGGTCCTGGTCCTGGTCCTGGTCAAAGTCAGGGTCTGGATCGGGGTCCGGGATCAGGATCGGGGTCAGGGTTTGGGTTAGGGTTAGGGTTAGGGTAAGAGTTAGGATGAGGGTGTGGGTTTGGGTGAGGGTGAGGTTTAGGGTTAGGGATGGGTTAGGGTTAAGGTTAGGAATAGGAAGAGGGTGAGGGTGAGGGTTAGGGCTGGGTTAGGGTTAGGAATAGGGTTACGGTTAGGAATAGGGTTAGTGTTAGGGTTCGAGTTAGGGTTAGGGCTGGGTTAGGGTTAGGATTAGAGTTCAGGTGCCAGTGGGTTAGGGTTAGGGTTAGGAATAGAGTTAATGTTAGTGTTGGGGTTAGGGTTAGGGTTAGCGTTTGGGTTAGCGTTAGTGTTCGGGTCATGGTTCAGATTAGGGTCAGGGTCCTGGTCCTGGTCGATGTCAGGGTCCAGATCGGGATCCGAGGTCAGGATCGGCGTCAGGGTTCAGATTCAGGTTAGGGTTAGGGTGAGGGTATGTGTCCGTGTGCGTGTGCGGGTTCAGGTTAGGGTTAGGGTTCGGTTGTGTGGCGTGTACGGGTTCAGGTTATGGTTAGGGTTACTGTTAGGGTTAACTTTAGGGTTAGGGTTAGGGTCATGGTTCAGGTTAGGGTCAGGGCCACGGTCCATGTCAGGGTCCGGATCGGGATCCGGGGTCAGGATCGAGTCAGGGTTTGGGTTCAGGTTAGGGTTAGAGTAAGGGTTACGGTTTGGGTTAGGGTTAGGGTTAGGGTTGGAGTTAGGGTT